AAAGCATGTAAATGTGAGTAAATAAATAGGTACCACCTTGGTGGGAAGGTAATTGTGTTCCATGTCTAGTCGTGCTGGCCATGTGACCACGGAAACTGTCTATGGACAAGCGCTGGCTCTATGGCTTGGAAATGGGGATGACCACTGTACCCTAGAGTCGGACACGACTGGACTAAATGTCAATGGGAACCTTTTCTTTTTACCTGCTTAGAACTGCAGAGCTAGAAGGGACCCTATGCATCACAGAGTCCAGCCCCTGTCAAGAAGGCACAGTGGAGAATCAAACCCAAAACCTCTGGCTCCATAGCCAGCTAAATAAACCACTGAGCTCTCCAGCGGTTCAAGTTTGGTCTCTGGAATGGACGGAGGACAGGAACAGACCAGAGTATACAGAAGTAACATGTTTCAGGCTTGTGAAAACAACTGATATTAGAAGAAATGGGGAAAGTGGTCAGTTCAGCAATGATAAAAGCTTGAACTGGAAGAGGAGGGCCATAAAGAAAATAATTTTGTCTTGATAAAACCAATCAACCATGAGTAGTACATTTATTCCTGCATAAAGGCAAGGGCCTATTGGAGGTTTTATTTTATTAAACCTGTAAGCAACAAAAATTGTATAATAATGATTTATATAAAATATGCTGGACATATAATGCTTTTGTTTTTAGGCATTAAATGGTTTTCCATTATGCTATAGAAAAACTACACTGACTTCCTTGGTTTTTTTAATCTTAGACCTTGTTAAGTCTTGAGTGATTTTTCTTCAAGGTTTATTCCACACCTCATGTCTAAATAGTTTAGTTAGGTGGCCTTTTCTGATGTATTTCCATCCAAGTTCCATAAATCCTGTATGTTTTCTCAAGTCTGTAGATTCAATAGACCAATTTGCCTTGAATGAAGGTAGTTATATATACAGTGCAGTGAAGCAGTGCCACTATAACTGATGAAAGAGTCCAGCAGATTAATTCTAATGTTCAGTCTGTTAAGGCTTTAAAAAACCCCATGCATTTGCTATTGAATAAACGTGCAAATTGCTACTGTTAATAGTATCGGGATGGGACAGGATGGTATTTGACTTACATTGCCTCAATACATTTTAATGAGATAGTATGTGGGGAAAATAGCAAGGAAAATGGTTATTGCAATCCTGCTTAGAATCAGAACTAGAACAAGAACAGACCCCCAAAGA